AACTGGGTTTGCTGAGCAGAAAGCTGGTTTGCACTCGCATCAATCAGCACGATCACCGAACTGTCGGCATCGAACGGGTCGGTCGCATTCGACTCGACGCGCGCGCGCTTTGGTGGCTGGCTGGCCGCGGCCGGGACGTCCGCACTGTGCGGCATCTCGGCAGCCTCGATGTGTCTGTATGTTGTTTACGCACGGTCTCTGTGTTTGGTTTTGTGAATGGGTGGGTTCGTGACCGTGACCAATGACTATCTTCAATTTATGACCACACAACCGCACAGTTGAGTTTAGTTGAATTTCAGAACAGACCCAACGCCGAGCGGCCGGCGCCGAATATTTTTGTTTGAATGGGAAAAACAACAAGTGTTTTGAAGTGTCGTTAGAGTTGTCTTGTCACTTTTTAATATTTGTATTTTTGTAACATATGCAATGTGTCTGTGGTTTCGGGGATGAATTCTGTACTCTTCTGAAGATTTTTGGTATCTTAGTGTTAAAATGACCTCTAGGGACTTACTCAATTCTAGCATTTCTCAAAAGAATTTAATGAAAGAAAACATAACCCCACACAAAATTGCTGTTGTTTTATTTATTAAAGAATTTTGTTTGATTAAAGCAAAGGGTGAGTAATGTAAGGTTCTTAAAGCATGTAGAAAATTTCATGTAATCAACAATAAAATTATCCCATACTCAGCTCGCCCAGGCCAATTGTTGACTTGTGAAGATGGTTCTTTCTACAGTGTTGAACCTGTACATAGGAGAGATTTTTGTATGCTTGTACTGAAATTGATTCAAGTAAGTTTTAAGATGGATTTAAAACTATAAATCTTGGCCTCTTGTGTAATTTAACAACTTTTTCTTGTACCCACCTAGTCACCAGATATGGAGTTGTCGGAATTCATGACAGTCTTACACTCAGGACAATACTCATGGTTACCTGCTCATCTATCTGCTTTGAAGAAGACACTTGCTGAAATTAATGATGGAGGAGTTTGTGCAATTCAAACACTTATTCACGACCTTAACACTACCATATTCTCAGACTCTGCATTACTCCAACCAGTTGTCAATAAAAGTAGCATAATAGGTATGTAGACATCCTCTGGAAACTGGAAACACCTAAACCTTTGAAAACTTTTAATTTTTTTAATGATGTGCAGGGCTCTTTCTTCGACGCATAATAATATTCTTTGACAAGCTGACTTTCTCGCAAGTGGTTGCCATTTATCGATCGTACAAAGCCTATTACTACAGAGCAAAGTTAGCTGGTGCAGACCTCAGATGTGCAGCTGAAAATTATGCTGCCGGTTCATCTACTGTTGCTGACTCTATTAGGTCTGAGGACATGGATATTTCGTCAGCAATAGGGCTTGATAGTGAATGTAAATTGCCAAGTCCCAGTTCCAGAGGAGGAATGAAGATGGATTTATTAGCTCTGTAAGTGGATTGCGTGACTTTCAGGTATACTCCTTTGTTAATTAAATTTGATTTTTTTAAATTTATGTCAAAATTGTAAACAGTGAAGGAGAAGTTGTGAGTTGGAGTAGGAGACAAGCGGAACTGTTCATTGCTCAACAAGTCAACCTACTTCAAAATAATGAAAGCCTTGCTCTTTCCCCACCTAAACTCCAAGAAAAGATAAGGGATATTTTACAAGCAAACCCTGATTATGCTGAAGCGGTATGGCATTATTTGGTTTTCTTACTTGTGTACTTCTGTGTTAATCTTCATCCTTCTTCAGTATCCTTTTCATGTAAAAAAATCAATGATTAAGTATTTCTTTCCTCATAGCATTATTTAAGCTATCTTAATTGCTTGCGAGTTCGTGAATACTGTGGGGCAGTTGATAGTCTATTTCACTGTTTTGATCGTAACACAGCCATTGCTGCAAACAGCACTACAATTGATGACAAAAATAGAAGCTTTAGGTATGCAACCTTAAATTTGGCAATCCTCCATGCTCAATTTGGTCAAAGGTAAGTACCTGCAGTAGTACATATTTCTTGTTGTAGTGGGTTACACTAAATTTCTTAACCAGTTGCTGTTATTTGAACTGTGCCACTAAATTCTGCTTGTTTCTTTTCAGGGGGGAAGCTCTGTGTGCTTTACGAGAAGCTGTTCAAATGGCCCACGAAGCTAATGATGACATCTGTCTACAACATGCTCAAACATGGCTCTATCGACTTAGCAATAATAATAAGGTAATTTCTTACCCTCCAGGCTAGCTCTTCTAACAATGCTTGTGCTGTTTTTATTTAACCAAGCATCACTTCTAGACTGTGGAATTTGGTTCCAGGAGGTACTAATTCAGAGGTCAGTGCAAAGGAGCTCTGATCTTAAACTAAGTTACTTGACAAGTCTAGGTATACAGTCACTTGCTCAGTGTACTGCCATAACTGGTACCAAGCCAGCAATAGTTTTTGAGGTAAGCAGTTGTTTTCATTGCACTGAAAAAGAATCCAAATTTTGATGTGCAAGAATGTGCGCTGTACTTAATACCTGATTGAACAATTTTACTAATTTGGTTTTGTGTAGATATTGATGAAGAGTGATACTCTAAATCAGAATTCTGTCCTTGAACTATTGGCCAATAGCTTTGCCCAAAAAGCAGCTTTGTGGCTCCTATATGGCAAGATGGAAATGAGTTTACTAGCCAGTCAGCTCTTACTTTGCCTCTACACTCTTGATGCTATGCCAAACTCTGGTTATAGTGGGGAAAGCACCTGCCTTGCCTTGTGTTGTGTGGCCAATGCCTTTGTACAGGAGGTCGTATTATTATCATTTCTGGTTGTTCTTATGTAAATTACCTATGTTATACTTCTTTCTTCCTTTGTTTCCTTTTCTTTGCAGGGCAAATACCAATTAGCATCAGTATTACTTCAGCATGCTCGTCTACAATTTCCCCACGAACCCATGTCTCATGCTTGGATGTATATTGAACAACTTCTGTACTTCTTTGAAGCTCTTCATAATGGTCGCTGGCAAGAGGCAGAACAAGCAGTTGGTCGCATGTCATCTGTCCATAAATGGGATAGCTTATTGAGGTTGAACAACGTATTATTCTCCACTAAGTTTTGCTTAGTAATTATTTTTATTACTATTTATGACAATATTCTCACTATAGGAAAGCTGAGCTTTTGCTTTCCAAAGGTGATGCCGTTGGTGCTATGAGTGCAGTTCACTCTGTTTTGGACGCTCCAGCCAACGAGTGTGACATGGGGAGTGGTGTAGGTTTACATAGTACCCACAACACCGGTGGAGCCAGATTAGCTTTACGCGTGCGTGCTCTAGTTCTCAGTGCAGAAGCTCAATCGGTTAATGGCCCAGCTCCCGCAACTGCTGTCTGTGTGCTGACTACAGCTCTTGGCTTGGCTCAGCAGAACTACCTTGAACTTCATGCAGCTCTGGTTGCTTGCCATTTAGCAAATCTTCAGGTGATTTTAACAGCTAATGTCACATCACTTTGTTTTTCCAAACCTTGTTTAAATAGCATTTTCCCCCCTCAAATTTGTCATTATTATTTTTTAGCTTCAACTTGGATTACCAGCTCAAGCTCTCAGTCTTTTAGATGAATGGTTACTTGTTGTTTTGGCACATGGTGGAGCTTATGATCGTGGGAGAGCTTTACTTCTATTGGCAAAGTGCCGTGTAGCAGCTGCAACATCATTACCTTGCAGTCTTGAAGACAGAATCAGAGTTGTAACAGAAGCAATCAACACCCTTGAAAGAGCCAAAACTTTGTTTACCCAGGTTGAAGCTATCTCCAGGGTGAAAGATGTCCTTTACTTACAGGTGAGATAATGTGGCAGTTGAAAATAAAAACAAAGAACTCTCATTATGAACTCGTCAACATATTTATTAATTTTGTAACACATTTTGCAGGCACTATTGTACAATGAAGTAGATTGTGTATTAGGGAGGAAGAAGTGTGCTCTTGAATTTCGTGCACTTGATGAGCAGCATCCAACCAAAATAGCTACTACTTTATTAAATCGGTTTTAATTGATAAGAGAATAAAGAGTGAAAGATTATTACATTAACTTTGTTTTTTAATTTTAAAACTATGCAGTGGATGTCAGAACGTACTATTTCTATTGGAATGTGTTTGTGAGAAAACTAATAGTATTTTTAGAATGAGCAATGTAAGTACATTATATCCAGTAAAAAAAGTTCAAATTCCTATAAAAATTGCATAAAAATATGTGCTACAGCACTTTGTAGAAAAATTACATGAGGACAACATGACAAACCATCACCACAGTCATAACATTTCATAAACATCATGACTATCATTTAAAAGTTGGCTTATAAAATGTATCAGTCTAGACAAATCACTTAAACCTTACACCAGCTCCCATTCTGTTCATAGGTCTGTTCATCAGTACCAACAAAAATGAACGATATTGCTTTGTAATATCTCCATTCATTTCATGATCCATGTTGGTGCATCGCCAATACCTCCAGCTTTTTGATGCACAAGTTTTGCGATGTGAACAGCCAATTTGTCAGCATTGGCTTGTGTGTTCGATTCAGCATACACTCTAACAACATCTTCGGTACCAGAAGGTCTGAAAAAAAAAGATGAACAGGTACGTTATGATGTATAAATAGTATGCTTCTTTTTAAAAAAAATATTTTTAACTGCCAACCTGACAAAAGCTCTGCCTTCCGCAAACATTGAAATTAGTCTGTCAAAGTCATCCTGCAAACCTTCTGGTTCACTTATATTGCATTCAGCATCAATGACTTTAATGACATTACGGTCCTAAAACATTAAAATTTAATGTAATTTGGGATCTTATGAACTTCTTAATTTTCAAGATGCGTCAGAAGTCATAATTTACCTGAACAGTAACTTTCAATTGGCGATTTGGGAGATCTGTGTAGCAGTTTTCCCAATCTTCAACACTCCAGCCTCTTGCATGTAGGATAGTTTCTACAATAAGCAGGTCAGAAATGGAATCACCCGTAGTCTCATTCACCATATCAATGAATGTCAGCATTTTCCTGGCTGCACTGCGTTTTCCACCTGCTAACCTGTAGAAAACAGAACTACACGTAGAAAAAATGGTCATCTTCTTTTACTTCAGATAAAAAGAAAATACTACAACAGTTCAAATGGTCATTTTTCTGAAATTCTCTAAGGCCATGTAATCTTGCCTTTTGTCTTCTCGGGCAGCTTTTACCAACACTTTAGTTTTCTTACTAAACAATACCGTTCCATGACCATTTGCTTCAAAATAGATACCAATATCGAATTCTTGAGCTTTGTGATGTAAATACTTTACTCCAGTGGGTACACAAGCAACTTTTAGTTTCTGCGGTGAGAAATTACAATAACAATAAATACCCCACATATTTTTTAAATCAAGAAAAAACATACTGATTCACCGAATCTAAGTTACACTTACCAAGACTTCTTTTATATACTTTGTAGAAGCACCATTTGCATATGCAGTTTGTACAACACCCACGTTGAGCTCTATATTCATGATGTCTAATAGACTTTTAAGATATCCAGCCACTACCAATACAAGAGAGATAGATTATTCACTGTGTTGATGGATAAGTATACTATTTTACAAAAAGGTAAAGACAAACACTGATTCTCATGAACTGACTGTGTCATGGTTAAACACTGAATTTACTCTCTAAGGAAAGTAAGGATGCTGTAAGCAATCTGAGATACCAGCTAGAAGTTGTTGGAAATAGCTAAATAGCTGTGAAGTGTGGAATAACTGAAACGCAGCCTTCAGTAGCAATATTCAGTTCAATGAAATTAAATTTTTGAAAAGTGCTCTTCTTAACAAGCCCATGCAAACATTTATGTTTTTCCTAAAATAACTGCATACTATTTACTTACCCAGGGACGCAATGCGGTCTCCGTCAAGCAACCGGAATTTCACAGATTGATCTTGGTAGTAATAAACAATTCTGTCAGCATCTCCATCAAAAGACACACAGCGATCTTTAGCCTTGATGCGCACTCGCTTTGGCAGTGTTTGGCGCACTTTCACATAATCAGCACCAGACTGTAATTTATTAGAACAATTATAATCATAGTTCAGTCATAAAATTACAGCACTTAACAACTTAAGAGACCTTTATCTTAGCTTTGCATAAGTCTACAAGAGCTGCTTGGCTAACTCGTTGTGCCAATGACAAATGAGACATACTGCCTCAGGACTAACGCACACATATAATAGAGTGATTGATAACAACTCAAAGTTTTACACCTAACAAACCACAAGCATTCAACCAAGTAACTGTCTGCATGTTAGCAAGCTCAGTCCAACACTGACAGTGACAGTGGAGTGGCTGGCTAGGAACCCAACAACCCCCCTCCGTCCCCTTGCCAAAAGATAGGCTCAACCTTTCAAGGGCAAGGGGTAAAATTAACTACACTGGTGCCAGTGTGCCACGTCCCTCCTCAATTATCATCAAGGTACTGTACAATGATTCTGATTAATGGAAGGTTTACAGAGGATACATAGAAAATTAAATGTTCTACATTTAACTCTTTTAAAGCACACATACCTCGTGGTTCAGTTCTCCTTCCCCTGTATTAAAAAGTTCAATTGTTAACAAATCTTTGATGAGCTCAGACATTTTTTTTAACATTGGCCCTCCTACACCATTAGCCATGTCTGCTACAATTTTGGGTTCATAATTCCCACTTTCAGGCCCCCTTTCACTGACCACCTGTTGAGCAAAAAAGAAAAGATAAAAAGAAGGAGTATAATTGCCACTGTTTTGTGGGACTGGTATTCAAATTTAAGAGAACAAGAAAAAAAACCTACTTCTTCTCTAAAGGATCGAAAAGCATTAGCCAGCTTTTCAAAATAACCATCAATAGTTGGATCTCCATACTCATTGTTGGAATTGTGAGCTGCCACAAAATAGTGAACCATTGGTGTAGTGACAATTCCAAAGTCTTTTACTTCAGCTTGAAATACCTTGCTCCCTTCAACAGCAGCATTTGATAGATGTTCGCTGCTTGGTCTGGAAACATTTAAAGAGTTAAAGTTGTAATTGTTTTGAGGAATCTTCACACATAACATTTGCATATGACATTTACCTTGTGTCCCTCCCAAAAAATACACTTGCAGGCTTAGTAACATCAATACTCTCGTCTTTAATTATTTGGAGCAAAGCAGAGCTTAGTTCATCATCTTTTATGTTTGCTAGATCAGAGGCAATTGTTTCCCACCTTATTTCTAGCATTTCCCCTTGAGGATCAATCTGCAATCATTTTTGAGGGTAGTTTCAGTGACAAATGACTCCAAGCAGTTTGTTCCGATTCTAGGATGGATGAGGAATGTATATGCTTACAATTTTCACTCCATTGTCAGCAACAGGATTGTGTGAAGCTGTAATCATAACACCAACCGTAGCCCCTTTGACCCGAGACCTCAACGCCGCAAGGAGACCCATCCTATATAAAATGTGGTCCAAATGTTCAGCTCTGAAAGAGAGACCGCAATGTCAACAACAGGTTACTACAGTAAAGCAGCTGTCATTTACTTGTTTGCATTGGAGTACCAGAGACGTTTGACTTACTTTGAGCGGAACCCCGCCGTACCATATTCAATGTTGATGTCATATTGTCGAGGGAAATCACTCTTCCCTTTAGCCTCGGCAGCTAACGCTAAGGTACCGGCTGTTCCAGACATGTTGAACGCTGACGTAGCACTGGTACCACAACCTAGCAGACTGCAAGCAGACGACAAAACTGGAGTCAGAGGAGACAACCAGTATGAGAAATTTGCTGCGCAGATTAATGCGCAAACCGTTGTGAGATCCATGCCAGTAGGGAGGGAATTCAGGGAGCGCAAAACTGCAAAGAGATGCAATATATCCGAGGAGAATCGATTGCCCCTGTTATGCAACGGGAGCAGCTCGTCTCTTAATCTCTCTCGTAATGTATAGGCTAGCCCCAGTTGGTCAGGGGAGGGGGTTGATGTACTGCACGCACGCGTGCAGGCGGGTTGCCTACTCGCACGGGGCCATAAGGAGCCGTGGGCAGAGAGGATAGGCAAACCCGCCCGCACACGTGCATGCGGTACAGTATAACTACAAAAGTGCGCGGCGTGAATCAGACACCTGGTATGTCATGCTTTTTGCCTTACTCTTACTCACGTGAGGAAAAAGTGCATGTCGCTTAGATGTTATTTACAGTGCCTTCGGTCTATCGACTGGCAACATCTACACGGGCTTAAGCAGAGGATTACGACCTCGGGTTATTTACTAACTGTCTACGTAATAGAGTGCTGGGAAGAAATTAAACACCCACTAATGGTTTTATCGCTTAAAGTAAAACCCGCTTGTCTGTGATTTACGTGATATTAACATTTAGCAACCATTGAGCCCGCAATAATCTTGCTTCTTGCCCGCCCCCCTTTCCCATCTCCCTCTGGCTGTCCATCGCTCCACAACCCGTCGCTGCCCCAACATGACCTACGGAGGGGCGAATCATGAGACATGAATACATCATCATCATCTAGTCGCGTGGTTTTGTTGGGACCTTGTATCCCCCCTCCCCCTTTCCCCTCCTCATCACAAACTCATGCTTCAGCCCGCGAGTCTACGTTTCGCGGCGCAATGTCCTCTGCCCCCCCCCCTC